CTAGAGCACCATCAGGTGGGAATTAGTGAACACTGCATACCTGGCCAGGACAAGAGGAGCACAGTGTGCACACCTAGAGCGCCCTCTGGTCAGAATCAGTGCTCACTGCACCCTCTGGTCCTGAGAAGGACAGTGCACACACCCAGAGCGCCCTCTGGTGGGAATCATTCTTAAAAGCAGCCATCAATTAAGAAAGCGTTAAAGCTCAACACTTCACTCTACTTTATCCACTGCAGCCCCTGGTCCTGAGAAGGACCGTGCACACACCCAGAGCGCCCTCTGGTGGGAATCAGTGCTCACTGCACCCTCTAGTCTTGTGGGAGGAGCAGAGCATGGAAGTGAGGGGTCCAGGGGCGGGGCTTGTGTAGGGGCAGAGAATGATAGGGGTGGGGCAACAATGAGTCCAGAGGCGGGGCTTGTGGGGAGGCAGAGCACAGGAGGGGTGTGGCAAAGGAGAAGTGAGTGGTGTATGGATGTCAGTCAGGGTACATATTAGGGTGTGTGATGGGGTATATGTTAGGGTACATGCATGTGACAGGTTACACATTTGGGATACACATAAGACGGTTACCTGGATGGTTTGGACAATGTATTAGAATTTAGAGTATTTATTAGGGTATGTGCTACGTTTAGGGTAAATGTGAAGTTGTAGTTTGTTAGGGTACATTCAGGGTACAGGTACAATTTAGAGAGTATGTGAATGGGTACTTGTTACCATATGGGTTCGTGTCCAGAGCATGTTTATTGTATTACAGTATATTGGGAATCTGTTAGGTTTAACATACATGTTAAAATAATGGCACATATTAGGGTATGTGTTTGAGTCCATGTCCATGTATGTGTTAGAGTTAGGGTACTTGATAGGGGATTTGTTAGGGTTACGGTACATGCTAGAGTGTGTGTTAGTTAGGGCACATATTAGGGTATGTATTAGAGTTAGCATACTTCACAGGGGATTCGTTAGGGTGAAGGTACATGTTAGGATATGGTTGAGTCACATGTTAGGGTACATTAATTTTTTAAAGTATGTGTCAAGGTACTTGGGGTATATGTAAAGGTCAGAGTTAGAGTATGTTAGGGTACATTCAGGGTACATGTAAGGTTACCTGTACGCTTTATAGAATATGTGTTAGGGTATTTGTTATTATATGCGTGTCTAGAGTATGTTTAATGTGTTAGAGTACTATTGGGAAATCTGTTGGGGTTAAAAGACATGTTAAAGTCAGGGCACATATTAGGGTGTACATTGGGTTACTTTAAGGTACAAGTTTGAGTGTATTTAAGGGTATTTGCATGGTTTTGAATAAGTGTTAGGGTCCTTGTTAGGGTATGAGTTAGTGTTTAGAGTACATGTTAGCAAACAGGGTATGTTTTGTGCACATGCTAGGGTACATGTATGACTTGAAGTACATGTTAGAGTACTTGTTACATGTAAATGTTTAGAGTGTGCGTTACAGTATGTGTTTGGGTATGTGTCAAGGTTACAGTTATGGTTTGGGTTAGGCAACACGTTAGGAAGTATGTTGGGATAAGTTTAGGGTACTTGTTAGGGTATATGTAAGCTGTACAGTACATGATAATGGTTAGGGTCTGTGTTAACCAGTAGGGTACATGTTAGAGTATTTGTTAGGGTTTGGCTTAGGGTTAAGGTATGTATTGGGTATGTTTGGGGTACATGCTAGTTTACCTATAAAGTACCTGAATGTATTAGAGTGCATGTAAGTCGTTGTTACCACACATTTTAGCGTTTAGAGTGTATGTTATGGCATGTGTTTGAGTTAGAATGAAGTTTATGGTATATGTCAGGGTTCGTGTTAGAGTTAGGGTATGTGTTAGGGTTAAGGTATACGCTATAGTGTATATTAGGGTTATGGTTTGGGTTAATTAAGGGCACGTGTTTGGGTATGCGGCAAGGTGAATTTGAGGTAGATGATATAGGGTGTACGTAAATGTGCCTGTATGGTTACAGTACTTGTTAGGGTACTTGATAGAATGTGACACTGTTTACTATATTTGTTAGGGTACTTATTAGGGTATGTGGTACAGTTTAGGGTTTTAGAGTAAAGGTATGTGTTAGGATAACTGATAGGGTACATGTTGGAGCATGTGCTAGGGTATGGGTTAGGGTTGTGGGTTAGGGTCAGAGTCAGGGTCATTGTCAGTGTTAGGATTATAGGTTAAGGTTATCCATCTGGTGAGGTTAGGGTGCTAGCATTTGGATTATGGGAATAGGTCAGGCTTAAAGTCAGGAAAGGGTGTAGGGAATATGGTAGACAAAGGGTGATGTTGTGGATGCACTTAAGGAAATGTTAGAGTAAGGATCCAGGAAAGGTTTAGGGTTAGGGAATGTGTGAAGAAGAACTCTGTGGGATGGGTTGGGGTTATGGATATGGTATGGATATGGAGGCTCAGTGGTACAGCGCTTGCCTTGCATGCCTGAGGCCCTGGGTTCGATTCCTCAGCATCACAGAAGCAAAAAGAAAAAAGCCAGAAGTGGCGCTGTGGCTCAAGTGGTAGAGCGCTAGCCTTGAGCTGAAGAGCTGAGGGACAGTGCCCAGGCCCGGAGTTCAGGCCCCACGACCGGACCTCCCCCCCCAAAAAAAATTGCAAGGTGACAGAAAAGCTAGGGATGAAAAAAGAAGGGAAGGAAGAAGGTAGAATAAACCTAGAGTACAATGCTCTGTAAGTCTAAGACGGGGAGAGTGAAAAGAAGAACTACAGAGAAAGAAATGGCAATTTACAAAAGCGATAACTGGTAGCACATTAAAAAAAAAAAACACAAAAACTAGGGACCTGTGGCTCACGCTAGGTACTGTGGAGGCCGAGATGTGAGGATCACAGTTGGAAACCAGCCTGGGTAAGAAAGCCCACCAGACTGTTATCTCCAATTAACCAAAAACAAAAGAAGCTGAAAGTTCAGCCGTAGCTCAAGTGGTAGAGCACCAGCCTTGAGGAAAAAAAGCTCAGGGACAACGCCCAGCCCTGAGTTGAAACCCCAGGACCAGTATATAAAAAATGTAAAGCAAAACGGGGCTGGGAAGGTGGCTCAGTGGTAAAGCACTTGCCTTGCATGCTTGAGGCCCTGGGTTTGATCCTCAGCACCACATAAGCAAAAAGAAAAAAAGCCGGAAGTGGCACTGTGGCTCAAGTGGTAGAGCGCTCGCCTTGAGCTGAAGAGCTGAGGGACAGCGCCCAGGCCCAGAGTTCAGGCCCCACAACCGGACCCAAAAAAAAAAAAAAAAAAAAAAAAAGTAAAGCAAAAAAAAGAGTCGTTTTTCTATCATTGCTGAGAAGGAATGCCGTCTGGCGCTCCGTCTGGTGGTCTGCGCCTCCCTTCAGAGTTCTGGCTTGGCCAGGTGCAGGCTGGGAACAGAGCAGCGGATGGAGCGAGGAGGCGCCGCTCCTGTGCTCTGGAGAGTCCCTGGAGCTGGTCTGTTCTACGGAATCCAGTGGGGCCAGGCGGGGCATGCCCAGCAGCCCCCGGCCGGCCCTTCAGCATGTGCCCACCTCTCTGCGCCGCTCAGGGAGTTCAGCTCCTGCTCTGGCTTTTCTGTGGCAAGCCTTTCCCCCTCCACTGAGGCTGCCGGTGTACCATACCCTTCAGAGTGTGTAGAGCACAGCCTTGTTCCCTTCCCGAGGCTTAAGTTTAAGAGGCGCTGTCTAATCCAGCACCAAGAATGCTTCTCCCTTCCTGAGCGCCTGACATGTGGTACCTCCTGACCTCTTTTGGGAGTTGGGAGAGTCAAAGGCAAGGTGGTGAGTGTTCACGTAGCTAGGGGTCGTGAGGACATGGGACTTCTCCAGCGACCGCACTGATGCGCTGTTCCTTTTTTTTAACCAGTGTTTGTCCAGCACGATGCTGCTCAGCTCTACCTCACGTTCTGGAACCTTCTTAAGGATCAAATAGATGATGTGGACTTGGTAAGAGCTGAAGCTGGAATCCCAGGACCTGTAGAGGTCGCTCACCATTGTGCATTTGTAGTAAGGGATCCGTGGAGACCGCTTGCCACGGTTCCTGGTGTCCTTCCTGGTACCTGCCCGGAGCGTCAGGGCTCGTCAGTCCAACAGGTCCAACTCTGGCCATAGCCTCACCTGTCCTTGGCGCCTTCTTGCAGGTAGAGAGGCTGCAGGCCCTGTACACGATCCGGGTGAAGGAGTCCCTGGTTTGCCTCCTCTGTACCAGAGAGAGCAGTAGGAACAGCAGTATGCTGACCCTCTCCCTCCCTCTCTATGACGTGGACGCAAAGCCTCTGCAAACCCTGGTGAGAGACTGGGTGAGAAAGGGTCGCCCCGCCATGCCAGTTCCCCCCGCCATGCCAGTTCCCCGTGTCCTTCCACCCGCGGACACTAACAACTCTGTTTCACTTGCACGGCTCTAGGTGGCCAATTTCTTTGAGCAGCAGCAGAAGTTCTATCCTGTTTCTCATTTTCTCACCCTCGTATTAACCAGGGCTCCTTGTGTTTTCTCCTCCAGTGGGTGGAAGATCCTGACAGATGTAGCGCTGGTAGTGGGGTGCTTGGGGGACTGTGGGGGAACCTGCAGTGGAGCTCAGCCCTCACCTGTGGGGTGGCCGCGTGCCCATGGAAAGGGTCTGCTGACGCGGCCTTTCCCTGCGGCCTCCGCCGGCAGGAGGAGGCCCTGCGCTGTTTTTTCCACCCCAGGGAATTAGCCAGCAAGAGCAAGTGGTTCTGCGAGGTCTGCGGGACGAAGACGCGTGGAAGCCAGGTGCCCACCCTCAGGTTCAGATGCGTCTCCGGGGCGGGCTGTTGCTGGGCCACGGCTTTCCAGACACTTCCGGGCCATTCCTGATGGCGGATGGGGTGGGATGTGGGTGAGGCTAGTTCAGACGCTCGGGCTTCTCATAGACGGGGCTGTGGATGTTGCTTTTTGACCACAGTCTTCCACCAGGAGTGGCAGGTGACGGCATGAGGCTGGGTGGGGGCGGTGGGGTTTCCTCTTTGGTTTTAGAGACGCTCCCTACAGCAGACTCCTAGTTTCTGAGGGCCAGGCACCTCTGCGGAGCCCTGAGCAGCTCACGGCTTTTGTCTGAGGTCCATAGTGCTGTGCCGGCCAAGCGTCCCCTGAGTCTCCGGGGAGAGGAATGGATTCTGCCATGGAAGCCTTCAGCTCCCCAGTGTGTCCCCCGCACCCCTCCCCCTGGGGAGGAGAACGAGCCACCAGGCCCGGCGTTTCTCAGGATCTTCCCGCAAGCGCCTCGGGGCCCCGTCTCACAGTGAGTTTTGCTTTTGCAGGTCTTGAGGATGACGCATCTGCCCCAAACCCTGACCCTTCACCTGATGCGATTCTCCATTCGGAACTCACAGACGGAGAAAGTCTGCCACTTGCTGCACTTCCCTCAGCGCTTGGATCTCAGTCAGGTTCTTCTGGCTGAGCATCAAGACTTCACTGAGGACGCAGAGCAGGTGAGGTGTTCTGGATCGATCCTACCAGACGCGGCGTCCTCCAGGTTCAGCGCTCTTACCCCTCGACTGCTAGATGGCACCGACTGGTGACTCCCCTGGTTCAGGCTCCCCAGGCCCGGGTTAGCGATTTGGTCTTCAGCTCACCTCCACAGTGTGAGGGCTCGGAGCAGCCCGGTGCTGGGTGCGCAGCGCCCCCGGGAGGGGAGCCAGGCGTGGTGAGCTCAGCCTCTGAGCACTGCTCTGTCTGAGGAAGTGTGCCCTCTGCGGGCTAGGCGGGGCCCGCACCGAGGACAGGCTGGCCTCAGGTTGCTGCGAGTCACAGAGGCAAAGGCATATTCAAGGCAGAGGGCTTAAAAACATTTTAAATTCAATTTATTTATTTATTGTTCAGCCAGTATGTTGGCACGTGCCTATCTTCTTTGCGGCCGGGAGACGTAGACCAGAGGGGCATTGGTTCAAGGCCAGTGTGAGCTACACAGTTAAGACCCTGCCTCACAAATAAAAGAAAGGCTGTTTTTGTTTTTTTCTAAGCATTATTGATTTTAATGACCATGTGGTCCCCCGGGGTCCGTGCTGGGGTTATCATTATAACAATGTCACCACAAGCCTTTGCTGTTCCTAGTGTTAGTTTCTTTAAAGATTCAGAACAAACCTGCCTTATTTCCAGTGTTGACACATGGAAAGTATTTGTGTGTAGGGATTTCAGTGTGTTTCTGTGACGTACGCATGCCGGAGGAATGGTGTCTTGTGGTCTTGGCACTGACTAATGTGTCATGCTGGGCCTGTAGCAAGCACATCGCCATTCACCATCTGAGCCAAGCCGCTGGGCCTTTTTGCTTGAGTTCTGTTATCAGGCAGTGGTTTGTTTTTGTCCAGGCCTGACCTTGGACTGCTCTTCTACCTCTGCCTCTCCCAGGGACAGGCTTCCGGGTGTGCACTTGTGTCTGGCTTGTCTGTTGAGATCGGAGTCTCACTAGCTTTCTGGCCAGGCTGACTTTGTCCACAGCCTTTCTGATCCCCCCCTCTGGAGAACCTGGATTATAGGTGTGCAACCGCACCCATCCTCAAATTTTGGAAAGATTAGCTCAAGCTAGACAACATACTTATCACTTCACCTGTGTCTTTGTGGTGAGCGTATGTAAAAATTCTTGAAAAGCATTTTCCGGTGTGGAACACATTATAATTACGATACTGTATGACATTGTTCTGAAACCTATTCTTCCCGTCTAACTGGAAGTTTGTGCGCTTTGATCAGCATCTTTCATTACAACCCCTAATAACCACTGTTGGGTTTCTGCTGCTAAGGTTTTTTTTTTTGAAAGAAAGAAATACTCTTGACTAACAAAAAAGTCAGCCCAAACTCTCACTACTAATGTTCCCTTTTCTTTTAAACAGTTTTCTAAGATTTTGAGGGAGTGGAACACTTCATGGACACATGTAGTAGAGACTTTGCGTCTGTAACATTCCTCTTCGTGTCCTACTGTCTTTGTAAGGTTTCTGTCCTGCCATTTCATTGTCCGTTTTCGGGTTCTTTTCTGTCACCGTTTTGTGGATATTCTAGTTCCATTTCTTCTCCTCACCTTTTTGAATGTCACCTCATATTTCTCACAGTTTCATTAACCTCAAACTGAAGACTTTCAGACTATGTCTTCTGTTCAGATGGTGGCATGTGTCTATCAGCCCATTAACCAGAGGAAGCCTGAAGCGGGGGAAATCATGTTCCCGACGTTTGCCTGGGGAAGGAAAAAACAGCACAGAACAGAGCTAGGGGTGTGATTCAATGGTAAGGCTCCTGCCTGGCACGCAGGAGGCCCTGGGTTCAAACCGCAACTTCCAAAACAAAACAACAAAAACAAAGAAGAAACCAAGGTGAAACAAAAAGTTCACAACCCCTCCCCCCCCAAACCAAACCAAAACAAATTCCCTTCCGATAACTTGTCTGCCAATGTTAAAAAACCCTTCTGCACGGTTAACAGAGACCTCCTCAGAGTTCCCACTTGGCAAAAATTGAACATCCCCCACTTACTGGTCGTGCGTCTGATATAACACAGGCATCACAGTTCTGGTTTGTGATGCTTCTCTTCAACTAGCTGTGAGATTCTGCAGGTCAAGGTCTTTTCTTCGAGCTCCTTGGAAGTGTCAGTGCCGGGCCTAGAGCAGGCAGTAAACAAGTGCCTGGCAAATATGCTTCCTCATTAAAGACCATACCAGGGCTGGGAAAGGAGGGATGGGTCGCTTACAGCCTTGTCCTCTTCCAGCGTGAAGCACAGTATGAACTCTTCGCTGTGATAGCCCACGTAGGGATGGCAGACTTCGGTCATTACTGTGCCTACATTCGGAATCCAGCGGATGGAAGATGGCTCTGCTTCAATGACTCCAATGTTTGTTGGGTGAGAACCATCATCTAAACTTTCCTCCTTCTCTGAATTCTCAGCTCAGAGTTGAAGACGCATTATGGTCTTGTAGTTTGTGTGTAGGAGCTGGGGAGTTTTGTGGTTCAAAGCCATTCTCTAGGTTTATTGCTTTATTTATTTATTTTCTTGCTTGTCTTGGGGCTTAGACTCAGGGTCTGGGTGCTGTTCCCCAGCCTCTTTGTGTTCAAGGAGAGTGCTCTACCTACCACTTCGGCCACAGCGCCACTTCCGGCTTTTTCTGTGTATGTGGTACTGAGGAATGGAACCCAGGGCTTCATGCATGCTAGGCGAGCACTCTACCACTGAGCCACCTTCCCAGCCATGGTTTATTGCTTTCTAAGCATCTGTTTGTGTCAGTGTTAGGTTTCTGGTGCTCTTAGCCCCGTACCTTGAAGGTATATGCTTTGTAGGAAACGTCTGTGGAGCGAGACGTTAAAGATGCAAGGTGTAAAACTCTGGGGTAGGTGTAAGCATTTCAAGGTGAGTGGGGACATCACAGAGGGTCTCAGGATGCACGGCGTTGTGTCACCAGATGCTCTGATGCTGTGTGGTCGCCAGGGCGGGCTTCTCCATTCTCTGCAGGAGTCTAACAGGGCACATTACAGTGTCCCCTGTTCTGTCCACACGTAATAGCAGCTGCCAACCAGCTGCTGATGTCTGTGATGTTCTTCCAGGTGTCCTGGGAAGACGTCCAGTGTACCTATGGAAATCATCACTACCGCTGGTAAGAGAAGCACTTGGGGGAATGGAGTACACTGGGTTCTTGGAGCTTTATGAAATCTGCACGGATGAACTATTGCCTTTATCCGAGAGTCCCCACTGACTACCATTCAGCCTCATCTTTCAGCAGTCATCCATGGCACCACACTTCCCTCAGAATTTAGACTTAAGTAAAGCACTGGCATAAGTCCCAATACCATGTCCATCATCTTCTGTAACTGTGTACCTGTATTTTCTGGTCTCTATGACCCTGTCCTAATTTATCTTCTGAGCAAGTGCCTAGTGGTGTTTTGATAATCACGGTCTTTCCTACTGCGCAAAGCCTTTACTGATGGGCCCCAGCGGATTGGCGGGGCTATCTTATCAGTACCGCGCTAACCGATTGCACCGCTGGAGCTCCAAAGGCAGGGCTATCTTATTTGCTTTCGTTGCTTTTTGAGCAGGCCTCCTTTATTACACTTCAAAATGTTTTTTGATTTTGCGACTTTTCCCCTCACACCAGACCATGTGCTCTGTTTTTTTTTTTTTTTTTTTTTTTTTGGTGCTGGTTCTTGGGTTTGAAGTCTAGGCCTAGGCATTGAGCTTTTTCACTCAAGGCTAGTGCTCGACCACATGAACCACAACTCCACGGCCTGCTTTTGTGTGGTTAATTTGAGATAAGAGTATCAAAGACTTTTCTGCTCTGCTGGCTTTGAACCTAAATTCTCTGATCTAAGCCTCCTGAATAACAAGGGTTACAAGTGTGAGCCAGTGGTGCCCAGAAGAGCAGGGGCCAGGACCACTCTTCTCTTTCTCAGTAAGCATCAGGACAAGATACTGACGTAGTCATTAACCTAGAGAGAAAAGCTGGATAAAGTTAAGGCAGAGATTTTTATATGTACTGGAGGTGGAAATGGAACTGACGGTGTAGGTAGTGGAGGTGGTATTGGGGTGACAGTGTAGGTAGTGGAGGTGGTATGGGGGTGACAGTGTAGGTAGTGGAGGTGGTATTGAGGTGACAGTGTAGGTAGTGGAGGTGGTATTGAGGTGACAGTGTAGGTACTGGAGGTGGTATGGGGGTGACAGTGTAGGTAGTGGAGGTGGAATTGGGGGTGATGGTGCTTGTACCAGGTGATATTCAGCTACATCAGAGGTTTGATTTCATAATTAATGGATTAGGTGGAGCTTATGTTTTATATCTTCCTTTTACCTACTTTTCATATTTTCCTTTTATTTATTCTCAACATTTCTCTTAGGTGCCTGTTCTTAGCCAATTTTTGGTTATTCATTCCCCTGTGATTTAGAATAGGGGTTAGCAAACTTTCTCTGTAGTAGTTAGAGAGAAAGTACTTAGGGTTTTGGAGCATAGCTTCTGTAGCTGTTACTCAGCTTTGCCCTTGCAACATGCAGGGTGCCACAGACAGCACGTGAATGAATGAATGTAAGTGGCCATGTTCCAATTAAGTTTATTTACAAAAAACAGGGTTGGAGTTGGCTTATAGTCCCATAACATGTCTGTCCCTGGTCCTTTCCTCCTTCCTTCCTTGCTTCCTTCCTTGCTTGCTTTCTTCCTTCCTTCCTTCCTTCTTTTCCTTCCTTCCTTCCTTCCTTCCTTCCTTCCTTCCTTCCTTCCTTCCTTTCTTTCTTTCTTTCTTTCTTTCTTTCTTTCTTTCTTTCTTTCTTTCTTTCTTTCTTTCTTTCTTTCTTTCTTTCTTCCTTTTAGTCCTGGGTTTGAACTCAGGGCCTGGGTGCTATCCCTGAGCCTCTTTGTATTCAAGATTAATGCTGTACCACTCGAACCACAGTGCTACTTCCAGCTTTTTCTGAGTAGTTTATTGGAGATAAGAGTCTCACAGACTTTTCTGTCCAGGCTGCCTTTGAACCATGACCCTCAGATCTCAGCCTCCTGAGTAGCTAGGATCACAGGCATGAGCCGTTAGCACCATGCTGTCCATGATTTGTACGTTAGCTAATAAGAACTTGCAGGTTAGTTTCCCAAGTCACTATTTTCTTTCCCTTTGATGAGACGGACAGGTTAGGTAGATGAAGGTTTGCTTCATTATCCTGGAAATTTGGTCCTATTGTGAATCAATAATATATCCCCTCAACTAGGCACTGGTAGCTCACTCCTGTCATCCTATCTCCTGAGGAGGCTGAGATCTGAGGATTGCGGTTCAAAGCCAGCCTGGGCAGGAAAATGTTTGCGACTCTTATCTCCAAGTAACTGGCTACAGAAAACTAGAAGTGGCTTTATGGCTCAAGTGGTAGAGCCCTCGCTTTGAGCTGGGACAGTGCCCAGGCCCAGAGTTCAAGTCCCACAACCCACCCAAAAATACATACAGCCTTTCAATGTAAATGTTTCATTTTGCTATGCTGATAAATTTCTCTTTATAGGCAGGAAACTGCATATCTTCTGGTTTACATGAAGATTAGAGGTTAATGGATATACTCTAAACCTTCAGAGACTGACAAATTCATTTCTTTTCCTGTCATTGGATCTGCTGAGTCTTCTAGGAGATTCTACAATGAGGAAAAACATAAAAACTGTAATAATTTAAGTCTTAAGTTATAATCATGAATGGTTACTGGTGTGGTTTGGATGTGGTTTGTCTCCAAAGGTCCTGTGACAGAGGCCTGGTCCCTTGTCTAGCAATGTTGTGGGGCAGAATCTTTTGAGAGTTGAGGCTTGTGCAGGGCATCTGTGGCTCATGCTTGAAATTCTAGCTACTCAGGAGGCTTTGAGAGTTCAAATCCAGATAGGGCAGAAAAAGCCTTGAGACTTACCTTCCATTGACAACTGAAACAAAAGCTGGAAGTGGAGCCATTGCTCAAGCTTTAATGTGCCGGCTCGGGTGAAAAAGCTCAGGGATGGACTGCACCTAAGCCCCACGTTCAAGGCCCAGTAGTGCCCATGAACTATTTCAGCTAGGCCCCCATCTCCCTAAGTTTCCAGAGCCCTTGAAAATGTCCCACACCTGGAGAGTAAGCATTCAACACAGGAGCCTGTGTAGGAAATTCTTATCCAAACCATAACTCTTGTGAATGAGGCACAATAAGTAAATAAAGTTATTTCTTTCAAAAGGAGTGTAGTGTGCAGCTTAATGGGGTAATTAAACACATATGCTGCTAACGGCTTGTGCTATAAACATATAGCTGTGAAAGCAAAGGCCACTGGATCTTTTCAAGAAGTTGCGCTCCTCGGGACCCGGGCTGCGGTGAACACTAATGCCCAGCAGAGGGCGCTCTGGGCCTGTGCGCTGTCCTCATCAGGACCCGGGGGTGCAGTGAGCACTGATGCCCACCAGAGGGCGCCCTAGGCTTGCACACTGTCCTCTCATCAGGACTCGGGGTGCAGTGGGTCCCGATTCCCACCAGAGGGCATACTAGGCGCATGTGCACTGTCCTCTAATCGGGACTCGGGGTGCGGTGAGCAGTGAAGCCCACCAGAGGGCGCTCTAAGTGTTCACTGTCCTCATCAGGGCGCAGGGTGCTGTGAACACTAATGCCCACTAGAGGGCGCTCTAGGCATGTGCACTGTCCTCATCAGGACCCAGGGTGCGATGAACACTAATGCCCACCAGAGGGAGCCCTAGGCATGTGTACTGTTCTCATCAGGACCCGGGGTGCAGTAAGCACTAATGCCCACCAGAGGGCGCTCTAGGCCTGTGCACTGTCCTCATTAGGACCCGGGGTGCAGTGAGCACTGATGCCCACCAGTAGGCGCCCAAGGTCTGTGCACTGTCCTTGTCAGGGCCCGGGGTGCAGTGAGCACATGCCCACCAGAGGGCGCTCTAGGCCTGTGCACTCTCCTCATCTGATGCCCACCAGAGGGCGCCCTAGGCTTGCACACTGTCCTCTCATCAGGACTCGGGGTGCAGTGGGTCCCGATTCCCACCAGAGGGCATACTAGGCGTATGTGCACTGGCCTCCTGGCCTCAGGACCTGTGGCATAGAAGACATGCAGAGGCCATGTTCTATGGACTATGAGTCTCGGCACCCTGAAGCTGAGAAAGCACACAGGTGAAGTGGTTCTGTCTGACTCCATTCTGGGAAAATGATCAGAGTCGGATTTAGAGTTGCTTCAAATAAAACACAAAATGAAATGAATACCATGGATGTATTACAGTAACAACTAGGACCTGAAATATATATATATATATATTGGTCTGGTCGTGGGGCCTGAACTCTGGGCCTGGGTGCTGTCCCTCAGCTCTTCAGCTCAAGGCTAGCGCTCTACCACTTGAGCCACAGCGCCACTTCCGGCTTTTTGCTTTTTGCTTATGTGGTGCTGGGGAATCGAACCCAGGGCCTCAGGCATGCAAGGCAAGCGCTCTACCACTGAGCCACCTTCCCAGCCCCTGATCTATTAACCTCTAGTACATTGCAGTGCACGTTGAAAAGTTCCACAAAATGTACAATGCTTTTATAGGGATATGTGAGGACTGGTTTTTAGTGTTAACATCCTCCCTGTCTTAAATGATACTTAACTAGATGATAATGATTAGCTATAACTGATTTATAATATAAAGGATTTAAACATACATAAGGGTCTAGGGTTGTTCTGACACACCACTGCAGACTGGGTTGTTTAGAGATCTGTGTTCATAGCTCTGAAGTTTAGCAGCATGGAATAAGTGTCTTCTGGGCCACATTCCCTCAGGAGGTACAAGGCACTGTGAGTTCTAGGTCTTCTCTCAGCTTCTGAGCCTGTGAGAGCAGAGTGACGTCTCTGCAGAGGATCATCCCTGGGTGCATTTCTGGGACCCGATTTCCCCCTTTTAGGGGCACAATAACAACAGAAACTGGAGTTGATCTCCTGCCAAAAGCGCATTTCCATGTAAGGTCACATTCCCAGGTATTGGGTGATGAGAGCATCCATATATGAACTTTGGGAACACAACCCATTACAATGTTCCTGCCTCTGCTGGCAGCCTCTACCTCCATATTTTACCTCCCTATTGATGGGGCTCCTCTGGAGCGCCATCTCCTTCCTGGCACCCAGCAGATCACTGCTGGCCCCGACTGCTGGCTTGAGCTGACACTGAGAATTCACTGAGAGCTGGTGTAGGGCAAAGGGTCTCCTAGACTGTTAAGGTCCCAGACTGTGTGAGGAAAACTAAGCCGAGAAGCTGACCCTTTACTAAAAACAAAGAGAGGCCACGAAGGGAGACCTTAAAACCTATTTCACATGGAATTCCCCCCTATGTCATACCCTGCCCAATTAGAACGGTGCCTGCCGTGCAACGTTGTGCATTCCACCCCGTGATCGATTGCCTCCTGCTTCAAGGGAGTCGATGCCTGGGTGTGCACATTGTGCATCCTCCTGTAGCTATCTCTGTAATAAAGCTCCCGTAGCTGTCTTTGTAACAGCCCCCAGCTTCAAGGATGCAGGGCCTATAACATCATGTTTCCAGAATATACAAACCCCAAGAGTAAGAATATCCACTTGCTTTGTGTGGGGACCCCAAATTTGCCCGCCAATGCAAGCCAGAATGATAGGTTAGTTCAAACAGTTCCTAGGAGTTGGACTGTAACCCACCAGCCACGGACATAAACATGCAACCCTTATGTGCTGTTACAATCCCGTTGGCCACCTGTGCGTGGCCAGGCGTGGATGTTGCCTTTAAAAACCCTAGCTTGTGGGTTGTTCGGGGTCGCAGTTTCAGCTCCCGAGTCTGTGCTGCGTCCCTGGCCGGTTAGCTCTCCACTTCCCCAAGAAAGTCATCTTTTTAAGTGAGGCTGTCTGAACAGTGGACTTTTTCCCCCGTAACACCGGGACAAGACTGCTCTGGGGTTCGGACACTACAGTTTGCAGCAGGACCAAACAGAGGCTGGTCTGTCTCTGGCACTGAGGCTTTGGGACACTTCATCAGGGCTTCAAGTTTTCCAGGGTCCTGGGCAGAAATAGCTGCAGCTACAGGCTAGGAGGAGGAGTGGAGCACTGCAGGGGTGGGGCAGGAGCAGGAAGTGAGCGGTCCAGGGGCGGGGCTGCTGGGACGCCAAGGGTCTTGAGGACAGTGTGCATACCTAGAGCACCATCTGGTGGGAAGCAGTGGTCACTGCACCTCTCTGGTCCTGAGATGAGGAAGATCATGTGCAGGCCTAGACCACCATCTGGTGGGAAACATTGGTTACTGCATCCCCTGGACCTGAGAAGAGGAGGATCATGTACCCAGCTAGACCACCATCTGGTGGCAATCAGTGGTCACCGCACCCCTTGGTCTTGAGGAAAGGAGGACGGTGAGCATGCCTAGGGCACCCTCTGGTGGGAAACAGCCCTCATTGCACCCCTGGTCTTGAGAAGAAGAGCAAGGTGCTCACCTGTCTAGCGTGCCCTCCGGTGGGAATCAGCTATCACCGCACCCTAGGTGCTGAGGAGAGGAGGACAGTGTGCAAGCCTAGAGCACCCTCTTGTGGCAATCAGTGCTCACTGCATCCTCTGGTTTTGTGGGCGGAGCAGAGCAAGAAGTGAGCAGTGCAGGGGTGGGCTTGTGGGAGGATCTGGGGTCCTGAGGAGGACAGCACGCACACCTAGAGCACCCATCAGGTGGGAATTAGTGAACACTGCATACCTGGCCAGGACAAGAGGAGCACAGTGTGCACACCTAGAGCGCCCTCTGGTCAGAATCAGTGCTCACTGCCCCCTCTGGTCCTGAGAAGGACAGTGTACATACCCAGAGCGCCCTCTTGTGGGTATCAGTGTTCATTGCACTCTCTGGTCCTGAGAAGAACAGTACACACACCCAGAGCGCCCTCTGGTGGGAATCATTCTTGAAAGCAGCCATCAATTAAGAAAGCGTTAAAGCTCAACACTTCACTCTTCTTTATCCACTGCAGCCCCTGGTCCTGAGAAGGACCGTGCACACACCCAGAGCGCCCTCTGGTGGGAATCAGTGCAGACTGCACCCTCTAGTCTTGTGGGAGGAGCAGAGCATGGAAGTGAGGGGTCCAGGGGCGGGGCTTGTGTAGGGGCAGAGAATGATAGGGGTGGGGCAACAATGAGTCCAGAGGCGGGGCTTGTGGGGAGGCAGAGCACAGGAGGGGTGTGGCAAAGGAGAAGTGAGTGGTGTATGGATGTCAGTCAGGGTACATATTAGGGTGTGTGATGGGGTATAGGTTAGGGTACATGTATGTGACAGGTTACACATTTGGGATACACATAAGACGGTTACCTGGATGGTTTGGACAATGTATTAGAATTTAGAGTATTTATTAGGGTATGTGCTACGTTTAGGGTAAATGTGAAGTTGTAGTTTGTTAGGGTACATTCAGGGTACAGGTACAATTTAGAGAGTATGTGAATGGGTACTTGTTACCATATGGGTTCGTGTCCAGAGCATGTTTATTGTATTACAGTATATTGGGAATCTGTTAGGTTTAACATACATGTGAAAGTAATGGCACATATTGGGTATGTGTTTGAGTCCATGTCCATGTATGTGTTAGAGTTAGGGTACTTGATAGGGGATTGGTTAGGGTTACGGTACATGCTAGAGTGTGTGTTAGTTAGGGCACATATTAGGGTATGTATTAGAGTTAGCATACTTCACAGGGGATTCGT